ACGGAGCTGTGTAAGCCCCCCCCCCCCCCCAGAATTGTTTCTAATTGTTTCTTTAGAAACAATTAGAAACATTTTAGTGTTCAGTTTTATAAAATCTGAACTTTCTTTGTCTTCTCTTTCCTCTCAGCTACACTAGGGTGTCCGATCAACGCAAATCAGATGCCGATTTGTGATCAGGACTGTTATTCTGACAGCGACTGCCGATTTGGTGAAAAGTGCTGCGCTACTTGGTGTGGACACTTGTGCATGTCTTCAAACCAAGTGAGACACAATTAAAGTAGTGAAATGTTTCAGTTAGTCCTCCCACACAGCTGTAGGTTAGAAACTGACCGAATGCTTTTGTGTTTCAGTAAAGCCAGGAGAATGTCCCGATTATGTGTGGCGCACCCGCTGTTGTGATCACTGCGAACATGATAACGACTGTAGCAATGAGCTGAAGTGCTGTCCTTCAAATTGTGGCCTTTCCTGTGCAAGTCCCATTGTGCCATCAGTCCCCAACTCTTAATCTTAATCTGGACAAGAATACAAGCATATTGAACAAAATCTCAACATCATGAATGTGAGTGCATGTTTATTTGATGATCTCTTTCTTTTAGGGCTAGTTTATTCGTACTGAGTTCTGTCACCTTTAAAATGGATGAGATGTCATTGTTAGATGTTACTTTAGAGATCGCCATTATATTCAACACATTGCCTTTTTCGTCACTTATGTGCGAAAAGGGGTTTTTCCCTTTTCTGACTGCAGATCCCAATGCAGCGTAAAACTGACGCGATGGGATGTCTGCTGATGCGGCATTGAACCAGCTCATTTAACCGCACCTAAACCTTAATGTTTTGCTATTTATAACAATCCCCTCACCTTCATCCTAACCTTAACCCTCTTGCTACCTAAAACGTTACTCTCACTGCATTCTGACTGTGAATTTTCGTATTTGCCACCCAAGGGGAACGTTAGAACATACCAGCTGGCGAGGGGGAGGTTACAAATACCCTCTACTTTTAACATCCACCTTGGTAGTTGAAACCTCCCCTAATCATGTTTTAAAATTATGATGTAGATCATTTAACTTTTGCAGTTGACGACTCTCATCCTAAAATAAGTCTGAAAAAGTGATCAGATCACTGAAAAACAAAGTGATTGGTGGTTATGATGTTGTCATTCTTTAAAAATTGCATAAAATTGATTGACATATAGTTCAACATTTTTGTATCTTTTGACTCAAGCAAAAAAAAAAGAGAACTATTTTGTAGGGAGTGATTATTCATCCTTCATGAGTATAATTCATTTGGACTGATGTGACATTAAAAAATTAGATGAAACAGCAATTAATGCATAACCAAAGGTGTTTGTAATTTGTAGTTTGTTAGAAGGAGTGAGAAACTGCTATGATTATGTGCACAATTGACAAAGAGAATTAGAATTTGGAATAAATTCACCAAAGCAGTTGAGAGAAACTGTGATTAAATTTGTTGTCCTGAAATATTTAAATCAGACATATAAGAATAACAGTAAAATTGATGGCTCTTTTTGTTATTTTCTAATCAATAACTTGAAATCTGAGTTTAATTGCTACATTTAGCCCTTTGAGATTTTTTTATGGAGGACGGGGCATCAGAAATTAAATGCATCAATCATCACTGAAACAAGAAATTAACTGTTTTATTCTTCAATGAAAAATAAACAGTGTCTAAATTGAGGGTGCTTTTTGCTATTTTTCTAGTACATTTTTGATTATTTAATTTCAAAATTATTTTTTTCATTTTCAGAAAATCAAAGGTTATTCAACAGTTTGAACTTCCTTCTTGTACCTCCTCTCCTGTAAATAATAATAATAATTTAAAAAATACTTTAAAAAATCTACTTTACATCATTTACATCATTTATATCACAGTGTTTTATCACTTTGATGGAAAAGGCATTTTTTGCAGACATTTATTATGTTACAGGGATGTCACTAGTATTGAAAGACAAGGGGGACTTAGCCCCCAGGGTTGGAGAAAAGAATTGGCACACAGCGAGAGCTGACATTTCTTCAGTACAGCAAGTACATCATTTTAATTAAATATTGATAACTAGACTGTTTTTCATTTCAATTTGTAGTCGCCCTGTTAGTTATTGAGACCTTACCAGCACAGTTATTGCTCTTGCACGAAATATATGCAAATAAAACTGAATGATAATAATAGATATTTTAGAGGTGTTTTGCATCTCTGGAGCTGCTGAACACCTAATCACATAATTTTTGTTGTATGTTTAATGTGTAAAAATAACAGATAAGTAAAGGAATCCCAGTGGAAGAGGAGTGCAGGCACAAGGACCCAGCGTCCTCTATGCTGCTCAGTCGACTGTTTGTGTTCTTGGATATTTGTCCAAACAGGAGTTCAGAAGCACAGTGTGTGTGTGCATTAAATGACCATGGAGACACACTGGTACACACTTGGTGGTGCATTCTTATGCACTGTTTGCCAAACACAATGGGAAGTCTGTTTTTTTCTTCAATGTAAGTACCATTTATCTGTCTGTTTCACAGTACTCGTCTGAAATCTTACTGCAAATGTTTCTTGGCTTCAGCACTAACCCGGCTCTGTTTTTGTTTTGTGTTTCCCCCCTCAGAGCCCCCTCCAAAACCAGGACAATGCCCACACACGCTTTACACTTTTCCATCACGTTTGGGATGTTCAAGTGACCAAGACTGTGAAGATTATGAAAAATGCTGCACCTATAACTGTGGGTCTGTTTGTGTTGCCCCTCATTACAGTGAGTGGTGCCGACACAAGCAGCTGTTGGGATGTTGGAACGAAGCATGAATATTTATTTAAAAAGGAAAAAAAAACAGATTTAATATCTCTCCATATGATGCCTTGTATTTGCTTTCAGTAAAAGCTTTGTGTCCTGACTCGAGTGGGACCGGCACGTGTCAGCAAGAGTGTGAATGTGATGACGACTGCAAGCGTGGTAAAAAATGCTGCTTCAATGGATGCGCGAAAGAGTGCATGCCACCAAAAATAGGTGAGTTAGGACCAATATGGCCACATTTCTGAATGATCTCTCCTGGAATATGTTATAACTGAGTGGTTTTATCTGTGGTGTGTCAGTGAAGCCGGGGTTTTGCGGTTTCCCAACCTTCTCTCCGTGTGGAGTAACCTGCCTTGATAATGGTTATTGTTCAGGGGATGACAAGTGCTGCCCATCTTTCTGTGGTCATTTCTGCAGGATACCCATGTGATCACACATATATTGTAAATTAGCAAAAATAATACAGTAAATGGTTTATTTTTCTCTTGTTATGTTTGTGGTTTTTTTCTTTAATTAGTATGGCATTTCAGCATCTGAGCATCTGCACCACAAAATTATTAATTCTTCTTGAAGAAAATCAGTCTTTTAAATCATGTTTTAAAATTATGATGTAGATCATTTAACTTTTGCAGTAGACGACTCTCATCCTAAAATAAGTCTGAAAAAGTGATCAGATCACTGAAAAACAAAGTGATTTGTTGATATGATTTTATTTAATCTTTGAGAAGGAAATTATTGTTTGGAAATAGGAAAGTGCTTACTGATCTTTTTTTATAGAGATGGTCAAGACATTCAAAGTTTTACTGTTGTTGCTCTATGATGCTCATAATTTGTCTTTTAATTGTGATTTCCTTATTTCTTCATAACTTTGTAGATCACAAAGAAATTTAAGCAAACAAACCAAAAATAAATAAAATAAAACAATCAAAAATGTATATTTCAATTAAAAGTATTGTTTTAAACAATGAAACTTTACTTGTGTTTTTCTTGGATTGGGGAGGGGTGGTTAAATGTGACATCAAACATGCACACATATGCAGAACATTGTATGCAAATACATAAAGATTTGCTTGAAAATTATTATTATTAATAATATTACAATTTGTTTGTGCATTATTTATTTAGTTGGATTAAACATATTTTATTAACAGCAGTGAAACCTGCATGAACATGTCGATTGTTTTCAATAAACATCAAAACAAACACTTTGAGTTCATTTTAAACACCGTTTCTGCAGGAAATTAAAACATGTACACAATGCATGTAATAAATAAAAAAGTTGGAGAGTGCAGCAACTGCCTGATGTTTCATCATATATCGTCCTTCATATGAATCCCAATAAAAAAACTTTTATTTATAATAGCATATGCTTTAACAAAATGCCTACATCCGGTTTAATAATCTGTACAATAATTGTAAAGTTTGTGAAAGTAAGACCAGTTTGTTTGCAATATTTTAGGAAAGTTTAGATACTCAAAAGATAAAGTGCATGACATCATCATGCTCTGTTCTGCTGAAATGTATGCAGCTTTCATCGAGTTTGAACTGGATTTGTATGAAAACTGAAACATATACCACCAAAAACACAAATAAAGGCAAAGTCCAAATGTCTGTGACCTGATAAGATTCTGAATGTGTGGACTTTTACACCAGCACCCTATTTGCCAGGGTATGTTTTATCATCTCATCTGATTATTGGTCATTTTGGGACATTTTGACCGAATCACTCTGAACTTTCAGTGTCATTTTATCTCGTTTTTCTCCACTGGCAGCAAGAGAACAAACAAAAGATCTCGTAATAAAGCTGATGTTGGCAATATCTGGGCTGAGAGCTCATGTGTGGAACATGTCTGGGTCATAAATAATGAAATCAGAATCAACAACAACAACACACACACACAGACACACACACAGGTTTATATGCCATAAACATATTATGTGTTGTACAATCATTAAGTCGACATAAAGCATACATGACTTTTCTGACCTTAAACAATGTAAATGTAAAACAAGTCTAAAATAATAAAGGCCATGACCATAATAAACTGATTATGACACAGAATGAAAAACCAAGCCACAACTCAGAAATTGTCACAGCATGTTTCAAATTTTTATTTGCATTATTTGAATGTAAACTTTTTCAAATAAGAAAAAAAAAAGAATGGAAAGAATTGGATGAATTGGCAGAAGTAACTCTACAGACACAAGGACCCAGCATCCTAGCTGCTCCAGTTACAGTTTATAAGCCAGGGGATTCCCAAACAGGACAACAGGGGCAGATTTCTGGCTGAGACAAATCATCATGGAGACACTCAGGTCTAGAAAAGCTGCCTTGATTGTGTTGTTTTGTGCTTTTGTTCAATCCAACGCAATAATGCCAAAACCTGGTGAGTGAGCTTGTTTTCTCCCACGTGTGTTATGTTCATGTATGATAACTCGACACTGATAAATCTTAACTTGACTCTCTTCTGAATCCAGGTAACTGTCCGCGCATCTTTGAGTCGTTTGCACCATTGCAACCATGTAATTATGACAGAGACTGCCCAGGAGATCAGAAATGTTGCACGTTTTTCTCCAGATCTGGTTGCACCCCTCCAGTTCCAAGTAAGAACCTTTTTTTTTTTATCTTGTTAAATCCACTCAGTGAATGAAATAGTAGAAGATATCTCCCGACAGCTTTACGAGGAAAAACTTTATTTTCCAAGATGATATTTCCATTTATTTAAGTCTTCGCATTAATTATTATTTATTTCCTCTCAGCATTACCAGGCTGTCCAATGCCTCCAGGGGATATGGGGATTTGTATTGATCAGTGTTCAAGTGATGCGGATTGTCCTGGCCACGATCAGATATGCTGCTCTAATGGGTGTGGACACGTGTGCATGTCTCAGATTCCAGGTGAAATATGACCAAAGGAGTTAAATTCCTCAAATACTGCCACAATGCTGCTAAATATAAAGAGGCTGAATGTTTCTGTTTTGATGTTCCTCAGTGAAGCCAGGACAATGTAATCCTGATGACTTCTTCACCCATCGATGTCACTCACACTGTAGAAATGATGGTGATTGCCGTGGTGAGCTGAAGTGTTGCCCATCATTTTGTGGCAATGTTTGCAAATACCCCTGGTTTTGGCCCCCAATAGGCCGCCGCTAGGTGTGCAATTCTTATACTCTTTAAATACTAATTTGTTGATTTTTTTTTAATTTGCTGTTATTGAGGAAGCACAATATTAAATAAATAAATAAAATACAATCTGCAACACAGCGTACAATTGTCTTCCCTTTTTTTGTTTTTAAACAGCCACTTGAACTCCTTAACACTTGGGGGGACAGGTTGATATGTGTTCCCGACAGCCAGGGGCGGATTTAGCAATTTGGGGGCCCAAGGCGAACATAGACATGGGGACCCTTATACTAAATTTTCGACAATCTTACCTTTAACTGGATTTGCGAAACTCTACCTTCTTCTGACATGAGTTATATTCCCTTTTTATTAGTCCTCCTATTTTTTCCTGTACTTCCCTCCCTTTGAGTGCCTTCAATATTTGCTCTGCTTTCTTCTTCCTGTCAGTGCTCCTGTGCTTTAGCCTTAGTTATTTTTTTCTATTTTCCATTTTGGTCTATGTTTTCCTCCCTTTAAACATTTTCCATTGTCTTTCCTTTTCTGCTTCCTATTGATGTTTACATCGAAAAACGACGTCACTTTCAGAAGTGAAAATAAAAGCTTTTATGAAGCATGATGCTTCTTTCTCTTATTGGAGCCACTAGGATAACTTCATGTCATGCTTAATGTTTTGACTATCGCTTTGCGTTTGTTACGAACACTCCCGCCTCTCTTATTATTATTATTTGTGGTCTTATGGGACTTGGCAAACAACAATTTGGTGCATTACCGCCACCAACTGGATTGGAGTGGAATGACTACCAATCACTTCCTGTTTGTGCATCGCCGTCTTAATAACCCTCTTATGACCATAATTATAACAGGGCCGCCTGGTATTTTTTTAATCTTATGGCTGTAAAATTGTAATAAAAAGTGCAAAGTGTGTAACTCTTCTCCTTTTTTCAGAACAACCTCATTTTTCAGTGTATGGTTTGTATTTCCAAACCACTTCAACATTTCACGAAAAGAAACGTGAAGCCACTTCTCATCCAGCTTCACTGGCTGCCAGTCAACTTCAGGGTTCATTTCAAGATCCTGGTGCTGGTCTATAGGGCCTTACATGGACAAGCACCATCATACATTGGTGATCTTCTTAGTCCCTACACCCCCAGCAGGTCCCTGAGGTCCAGTGATCAAAGCCTACTGGTTGTGCAGCACACCAGGCTAAAGACCAAAGGTGACAGATCATCTGCTGCTGTGGCCCCCACACTCTGGAACTCTCTCCCCCCGAGTCTGAGATCAGTGAACTCAGTGGTCTCCTTCAAAAAGCAGCTGAAGACTCACTTGTTCAAGCTGGCTTTTGTATGACCTTCTTCAACCCCTTTCTCTTTATTCTGCTCTCCCCACCTATTCCACCTTCCTCAGGATCCACTGATTTCCCTCTTTCCTATTCACTCTCTCCCTTTTTAACATTTTTTCTTTTAAATCACAATTGCCTAATTTTTGCTCATTTTAAATATGTTTTTAAACATTTTCTAAATGCTTTTTTATATATATTTTTTTGTTTATGTGAAGCGCCTCATGATTTTTATCTTGAGGCGCTATAGAAATGATATTTTCTTCTTCTTCTATTTAGAATTTATTTCTATTACAGCCTTTAAAAAATCAGCTTAAAAGTGAAAAAGGCAAAAAACGGATTTGAATTTTTTACAGTTATTACTGAAAAGGAACTTCAAATTTAAACTTTGAACTGTAATCAGTGGCGGCTGGTGAAAAATATTTTTGGTGGGGCTGTGCTATTATTTTTTAAACAAACTTGTGCTTTCTGAGCTTTGTGCACAACTTCACTATGTCCTGAATTAAGCACAGCTCTTTTATTTCCTGTCTTACATCATTGGACAAACTGATTAATCCAGGTGTTTCTGACTATTGGCACGCTGCCTTGCGGACCAAAGTTGAAAAATACTGCATTAAATTGCACATAAAATAACATGACCATAAATGGTAAATATGCAATGCAAGAGGCAAGTAACAAAAACATTTTGTTTAATTTCAACATTTGAGTGAACACGAAAAATTATGAGCAGGTCACTGTTACAGTAAAGGTAGTAAACACTACTTAGACAAAATGCCAGAAATTTACACTGTTAGGACTTATGGAAAGTGGAAACACTTTCATAGGAAATAATGTCATCAGTATCCTCTTACAAATGTCATATTTCCCACTTTTTGGGACAATAAAACATTTCTGGTTCTCAATGAGATGTTTTTACTTCAAATGTAAAAACATCTCATTGAGAATCAGAAATGTTTTATTGTCCCAAAAACTGGGAAATTTGTTTGCTGCAGCAGAAGTGTAACAATTAAAATGGAATCAGATTGATGTATGTACAAATTTACTTGAAATACACATTTACATGATTAAATATGTATAATAGGTATGTGTGTTGAAATTAGTTTTTACAGTTATTGCGCATTAAACAATGTACATGTTATTAAACAAATGTCCCGGTTTGTGGGACAACCAAGGATTTCTGATTCTGATTGTCTTGTTTACAGAAATGTAATGTACAGCTTACCTCTGCATCCAGCTGCTGTTCTCCCTGTCCAAACGTCCTCCGTTTCTTTGTTGGCTGCTGCACTGATGCGCTGCATTCGTCAGTCAGAGAATGAATGGAGTCCCCAATGAGACACAAGTTCCACATCCACCTTCAGTGGATCCCAGCCGTTTTGAACAACAAACACAGAAAGCAAAATAACGCATTAGCGTGATTGCATCCAGCTAGCCACTGCTTCCTGGTGTACCAATTTTGGGAGAAGCGTCGTGTGTACAGTTTACCCTTCTTGTCCTGCTGGCTTATCTTTACGTCGGGCTGATCTGGTCCAAGCTCTTTGACATTAAGTTTTTCCACCATAGTTCTCCTCTCGAACGGATACTGGAGAAGAGACCGAACTGAATTCAGTGGCTGCTGAGATCCGGTATCCATGTTGTAGGCGCACTGGCGTCCATGTCTACGTCTGTGTCATGACAGTCACGAGTCACGACCAAAAACGTGCTGGAGTCGAGACTCTCCGAGTTCTACCGAGCACCAACGAAAGCCTTGGCGGTAGCTCTATCGCCCATCATGCTTCTGAAACAACGTCGACGCTGATTGGATACATTCCCATTCCTACCCTTTGATTTTCTTGTCAGCAATTGGACAGCTGGTCCCGTCTTGTTTGGGTGATTGAAAAACAGCACACAGCCTCCACCGCTCGGCAGAGACCGGCAGAGATCGGCAGAGACCGGCAGAGACCAATATAGATATATATATATATGATTTATTTTTGTTACAAAACACACAATTAACTTAGAATATGTGATTATTGTTCATTTTATTTATTTATTTTTTAAAATAAAAATTAAAAACACAGGGGAAACTGGGAGGGCGGCGCCCTATCGCCCTCTACTGGCCAGCCGCCACTGACTGTAATGCATCTATTCTTAAAAAAGTTTGAACCGGTATCTTTTTTAGCAGTTTTTAAGACCATTTATTTTTGTAAACTTTCAGACGTTTTTATTTGATGTGGTAGACCTTGAAGCAGCTTCTCTCCAGGTGCAGGCAGAGTCCTGCACACCTCACTGCCATGGGGTGCTTCTCTGGCACACCGTGCACTGCTATACCAAAAACTTTTGTTTTAGCAAAAATAATTATTTATTGTAAAAAGATAAATAATGCTGGAATGAAGCTGAATCTTACAATTAGCAAATATTTGAGGGTTGTTCAAATAAAAAAAATATATAAAGACTGAACAAACGTTCATATCCTGGTTCACCGGAGATCTGTCCTTCTTCATGGTCACTGTCTTCAGATATAAGCCTTCTGGGACACCTAACAGATTGTGTTGATTTTCTTTGAGGCATTTCCATAATTTCATGCTGGCTTTTATGCTGATTAGCTTCCCCGTCCCGTTATCCGCTTTCACCGCGGCGCTGCGCTCCGTTTCAATCTGCAGGATTTCCCCTCGTAGCGATATTTTCCCTAACTCTGATTGCTTCATGCTATAGATCGCTGGAAAGCTGCTTTTATGTACTTTTAGGAACGGTTGGAATTTCTTGGATCAGATCAGCCATTCAAAAGTTATAAACGTGAGCATTTTGGATGACTAACTCAGCACGTCTCTGAATCTGTGTTGTGATTCGTTGCGCTCAAAACAGGGAATCCCGGTGGCTACCGTAATGTATTGTATATGCACGAAAAGCCCCACTTTTAATCTTTTCAGCACTTTTGGAATTTTAATGATATCTTGAACGGTTCAGGAATTATGGTAATGAGAAGGGCGCATGTCCAATCCCGTCTGCAGCCACAGGTTGGTAATAATGTTGTGGTCAGGGCTAGGGGGCCCCCCCCAACACATGGGGGCCCCAAGCGGCCGCCTACCTATGCCTAATGGTAAAACCGCCTCTGCCGACAGCAGCATGTTTAAAAGGTTCAAACAAAGTCCGATCCTACTGGCTTCATATATTGTATCCACTTGGACCAAGTGGCGTAGAATGAGTCAATTTGCAGTTTCAGTTATGCTATTTTTTCCATTTTGTAAATGTTCAGCGTGATATTGATCCAGTCCTCCATTGTCGGGTGATTGGGCTTGAGCCACATTTTAGTGATGGCCTTCTTGCTTGCAGCTAATAGACCATAGAGAAGTTTCCAGTCTTTATTATTGAGGTTGTCTGATTCTATAGTCCCCAAAAACAGTGTTTCAAATGAGAGGGTGAAGTGTCACACCCTGTCCTGTCTCCCCATTTGGTTCAGCCTGTGTCGCTGTTGATTGCTCCCACCTGCCTCTCGTTTCCCAATCACCCAAGATCCCAGCCCTCTTGTATTTACACCCCTCTAGTTCTGTGTCTCTTGCTGCCTCCTTGTTTCCACGTCCTGTGTCCAGAGTTCATTAAAACCCTTTTGAGTTTTCTAGTTTGTCTGCCTGCCTGCTTCCTCCCCAGCGTTTGAATCCTTATCTCCACTCCACTCACCAGCGCGTCCTGACATGAAGACCATTGAAAATACATTTTGAATATGTTGGTGAATATCTATCCAGTAACTTTGGATCCTATGAGAGCTCCAAAAAAAAAAAGAAAATGATTTGCTCCCTCACTACTGCATCTCCATCATGTATCTCCCTTTC